TATACGAAGTTATACAGAAAAAAACCGAGAGTAGTCAAAAGCCGAAAGCTTATTTCCAAGGAGAAAGACGACCTTCTCCCCCAGCGACCAAATAGGACCCTACGCTGGGGGTTCCAACCTACGTGTCCTAACTGGCATTGATAAGTCTGTATGATTTTCAAAAGACTCGAGCAAAACTGGTACTGCCCGTATGGGATTGCTGTATCTGGGTCCCCCGGGAGCTCTTTTCCCGCTGAGGTTCAGGCCGTCTTCGTCCCTGTTATGGTAATCCCAGCTTTCCACAAGGAATTGTTCAAGTTAGCGCCATCCAGTCTAATCGATTTAGTGTTCGTTTTTCGTTCCCCGATTTAAAAAGGAACCAAAAGCCGCTCACACCATTTCATGCGATTAGAAGGAATTCGATAACCATTAGCCGCAACCAGATCTGCCAGCGCTACAAGAGCTAAGCATTCTCGGTTCGTCAGCGCTACGCGCTCATTCTTAGCTCCCAAGGTATCCCAAAATCGTGCTGCAATAAAGTGGATTTCCAAATTATTCACTGCTTTTTTTCAACATTTAGAGCTAGGTGCATCGTCACTGAACATTTCTCGTCATGAAGTGGGCAGCACATCCACCAGAACCTGGTGCAGAGGGTATCTTATTCACGTCCATCGGGTCATGATGTCTCCAGAGCGAGCTTCTCAGCCAGAAATGACTTACCGTGAGCGAAAGTCGTTGGGTACAAAGACTCTGGCATGAGTCGACGTCAACGTTGATGATGCGATCAAGTTCGTTCTCCAACTGTTTACCCTCAACTGCGATGTACTGTGTGATATACGGTGCATAGCATTGAGCTGAAATCGATTTAATCAATAACGATCCCGCCAAATGATCCTCACTAGCGGGAATCTCCCTGAACTCACATCCAGCACAATTGTTGTCCATGTAGATGACTTTATCTTCGGCTTCGTCAGCAAACAAATCAGGCCTGAAATGATTTCTCTGTAATTAATAGGCAGAGACCCACAGAATGTTCTAGGGCAAATTCCGCGATAATCGAACGGGCGGAGTCTCATAAGTTTTGCCTGCTCTTCATCAGTGCACCTGGCCTTTTGAAATGATTGAGCGGTAAGGAAGCTACAATGGTTATGAATCTTCACCCTTTCTCCGCCCACCGACTATCGCGGAATGGGTCTTCAACATGCGGGTCAGCGGCGCCTAGCTTGTGGGCGGGCGGGCGCGGTAGGCGCTCGGTTCGGCTGTAGCTTAATATGGCCTTATAAGGGCACATTCCTTGGGAAAGGCGCTACCCAACGACTGCGCCAGGATCGCGCGATTCCGTCGCCTGGTCCAGGTGTCGCATTAAACCCTGAATGTTGTAAGGCTTTGTCGTGCCAGCTGCTTTAAGGTGTTGAGAAGGATAACGTGTGCGCACAAACAATCATCATTGATAAATGTGAATTAGAGAAAGTCAGGGGTAACAGAGGAAGAGCTGC